TTTACCATTAAAATGGGTGCACACTCGGAGTCTTCTGTCTGTAAAAAATTGAAAACCCATTGGGGATTTTGAGATATGTTTCTTGGTTTAAAAAGTCAGATGGAAAAGAACAAGACTTCTCAATATGTGGGGAAATGTCCTCACAGATGGAGCCTTTCCTGTGTGAACTTTTCTTGTTTAAAATTATATTTTTAACCATTGTATGCAATTCTAGACATTTTTGTTTCTGTCAAAGACCTTTGTGAATAGCTTAGGTATTGGTTATAGTAATTGTAAAATAATATTGATAAGGTTTATATTTATAAAAATAGAAAAAGATGAGCTGTGCATGCATGGCCTTCATAAGAAAAATAAGTTGTGAACTGATAAAGTAGAAATAGTGATCCTTAAAATAATAGCGTCATAATAATTCAGAGACAGTTTTGTAGTCAGGAAGACCTGGTTTCCAGTCCAGATTATTATACATACTAGCAGTATCAGCATGATAGTCATTAACATTTTAGGGACACTCTCAATTCTCTGGACACTTTATAAAAGCAGTTGCAAATCTATATGCATAGAAGATATTTAGTTTGCACAAAGAAATTTCCCCACTTCAATGAAATAACAGGCCTTTAGTCACACAAACTCATATGACATGCACACACATGCACATGCATAGACACACACACAGAATATCATAGGCTTTGCATTCAACTATTTTTTGTAGTGTCAACTAGATGTAATAGATATAGTAAGGGAAACCTGGGTTTGGATCTTATCTCTGTTCTAACTATTTGATCCAATCCAACAAATTGTTACTAGGTCATTGAGGAGTTACAAAAGAACTAACACCATGAATATAATACCTGGGAAAAATTGCAGGTCTTTTACATATGTGAATGATAGGTTCTAGAGCACAAAGGGACCACAGAGAATATCTAGTTCAATCCTTTTACCCATTACAGAAGAAGGAATTGAATTCTAATAATTAACATTTATATTGCACATTAAGTTTTGCAAAGTACTTTCCTTATAACGACCTTATGTAGGAACATAGTACACTTCCCATTTGACAGATGAAGACAGGCTGAGAAAAGTCAAGTGTTTTAGCCACAGTCACACTTATAGCCAGTAAGTGTTAGAGATAGGATTCAAATGCTGGCCTCCTGATTTCCAGTTCCAGTGATAATAATCATATGTCATAATGAAACTCCATATTGACAAACTTGCAAACATTACATTTAGATAGAGACAAAAGTTTCAAAGGTGTTACCATCATGTAAACAACAACAAAGAAAAATGCTACTGCCTATTTTTGTTAACTGAGGAAAAATTGCAAAAGCTATTCACCCTAAACCTTTTGTGGGATTGATTCTTGTGGATAATTATGGTTACCTTTTAATTTGGTGACAGGGTTAATTGAAAAGACAGTGTTTGCTCTTTGAAGAATTAAAAAGAACTTAAAAGCAAGGAAGACTGGCTTCTATTTGCGTGCTTACTTTAGTAAATAGTGACATAGCACTTTCTCCTGGAACTGTAAAACGAGCTATTTACCTATCCAATTGTAAGATATGTTTTTTTGTTTGTTTTATATATGGTCACCTCTTGAAACCTGGTCTTTGTTGGTCATTCCCTTGAAACTCTTTTCAATCATTTTAATGACTAGATGACTAGCACAAGGACTGTATGCCTGCTTTTTCTACATGTGGCTTGTTTTCACAAGGAGGAAAAAGGCAGATTCAGATACCAGGGGAAGTTATCATTGGCCAACTCAGCTGATTCTCTGGAAGTTAGGAAACAACAAAAGGACATCCTAAGTAAGGAAAAGGTAAATAGATGGCTATTTAGTATGTGGAAGAAAACTGTAGTCTTTTCTACCTTTCTGAAGAAATACAGCACCATGCCCTGTCTAAGGTACTAAGTGAGAATAGTATCATGATCACAACAGCCTTAGAATGTCAGCCTTCACCTGATTCCTTTAAGAAATAGGAAGCACTGATTGTATGTTCAATTTAGTATTTTGAATTGATCATAGAAATTTGAGTTTCAGAAACTGAAAGATGAAGAGAAGATGGGCAAAAAAAGGATGAAAGAACCTTTTCTTCTAAAGTCTTCTTTCCTGGTTTCCTATATCTCACTCTCCCTTCACACACAAAAAGCTAAAACATCCAGGATTCTAGCCCAGTTTCAGAATGAGGTATAAAGAGGGATGTTAAAAAGGAAAGGCTAAACAGTTACACTTGCAGGAAACTCAAGCAGATTTTAGCTCAGGCTCCTGCACTTTCTATCCTTTGGATGTCCTATGGCAATCTGTAAGTTTTCAAACTTAATCTGCATCCTTGATGTTTTTGGGCTTATTTTGTGTCTTCTAAATAGTTAAAATAACATTCCTAAAATTTGCATTTTTCCCTTAACCTTTGAATACAAACTGAACTAGCCACTTCAATCATCCCAATAAACATAGAGTTCGCCCCTTAGTACACGAAATATTATATTGCTTGGGGTTTTGCAGTTATTTAATCACTCCTATCTGCCTGCAAGGTCACCGCTCTATGCCTTCCATTCAATTACAGAGAACTAGAGAACTTCTCCCTCACTCTAGTTCCCTGTTCAATCCTGTTTCATTCTGCACTCTCATCTTACTTTATACATTCAAGCCTATTACTGTAGAGCAGTCAGTCCTTTAGCATCCTTTCACATACAACATACTATACCTGTGTACAATATACCTTTTTCACCTAGTTCCCTCTCACTCACCTCGCTCATTTTTCCTTACTCGGAGATCCGCACTGAGTTTCTCTTCCTGATGGAGTTGTTCAATAGGACATAAACTAGCACTCACTCACACACACACACACACACACACACACACACAAACACACACCCCACGTCTTTGCTTACATTCATTAGCCTTTCTCTGCAGTTGGCTCAGGAACATAGAGAGATGACTAAGTTGTGCCGGTAGTGGGGTGGGTGTGGATTATGGGTGTAAGCTTCAGACTCAGGAACCACAGGCTAAAAAAGCATGCTCTCCTCCTGCTGCTTTTGCTTCTTCTCTTCCTCGTCCTCCCCCTCCTCATCCTCCCCCTCCTCCCACTCCTCTCTATCCTTCTCCCCCTCTTTCCCTTTCTCCTTTTTTTCCTCCTTCTTTTGGGCCGAGACCTGTCTTGCCCCACGTAATTTCTTCTCTCTAAAATTGTCCTGTAAAGGACACTCAATACACACATACATGCACACACGTGTCTCTATGACCGGCTACTGGGTCTGCAGCCATAGCAGCAGCCGCAGCCGCAGCAGCAGCAGGTGCGTAGCAAAGGAGATCCTTAGAGGCACAGCAGGAGCTGCTTTCAGAACATTCCCAACCTTTTTTTCAGGATTCCTTACCCATCCCTCTTTCTCTCATACCTTCTTCCCTCTTCTTCTCTTTTCTACCTCTCTTCTCCTTCAGTCAATGCTCCCTGCTTCCTAGTCTGTGAAGGGAGGCTGCAGCGGACCAGGCTTAAATGTGAGCAGCAGGGAAGGAGCCCCATGGATCAGAAGGAATGGAGGGACGGGATATACTGGGTGGGGGTCCAGGCTCAACCTCCTTAGCCAGTTCTCTTGGACTTCCGAGAGCAGAATCGTGGGGTTCTTGCTATACCCTGAGAACCGGTAGCAGCAGTTGTAGCGAGTGTAGAAGGGGGGGGGGGAAGTGTCGTTGCATTTTCCTTTGAGTGACTCCCTTTCCCTCACGCCCTCATACACCCTTTTTCTGTCTTCTCTTCTGTCTTTCTGAATCATTCTCCTTTATTTGTTTCATTTCTTTCTTTTTAAAGCTAAGACTGTCCCTTTCTAGCTCCTCACAGTCCAGGTCTCCTAACTCAGCTTCCCTGGAATAGATCGGGGTGGATGGAGGTGGGTGAGGAGGGGATGTAATACCCGAAGATTTACCTGAAAGAGAAGTGGTAGTTCTCCATTTATGATGGGAGAGTCTACCTTTCAGAAAGAGATGAGGCAGATAGAGATGTCATCGTTTGTGTGGGAGTTGATTAGAAGATGCGACCTCCACAACTGGCCCTAGGATTAACTACCCTAAACTTTTATTGCTGCTTGTCGTCTAGGAGCGTCCTACCTCTCTCCAGTGTTGCTGACCTGAGAAGGCTAAATAGAGAAGGCTCGACATCAGAAGGGAGAGTTCTCGTTTCCTTTTGATAAATAGGATTTAAAAGGGAGCGAGAGACAGCGATTCCGTTTTTCTGCTTTTGAGAGAGAGAGAGAGAGAGAGAGAGAGAGAGAGAGAGAGAGAGAGAGAGAGAGAGAGAGAGAGAGAGAATCAGTCCAGTTGCTGGTCGTTCCCCCAATGCATCTTACTTCAGTTTGTGGGCACGCAGAAAGAATCTGGGTTTTCTTCTCTTTCACTGCTCTCTCCTCCTTCCACCCCGCCCCGGGGCGAGTGGGATGGGGGTGGTGGCGAAGTGAGGGCTCCCTGCACAGCTTCAGCTCTTCCTCTCCTCCCACCCCCCCTTCCCCCCACCCCCACCACCCTCACCAAGATCAGACTGAGTGTAATGTCCTTGCTACCACCGTTACTCCATTCTACTATGCAACAGCAGAGAGGAGAGCTTTGAAACAAGAATTTGATCCATTTCAAAGGCATAATGCTTCTTGAGGATCTCATTCCCTAACGATATAACTAAAGCTCCCACTTGGTAACTCTTTTCATCCTCTCCACTCTTCTCTCCCATTCGCTCATTCCTTTCCCTCTCCGTTTCTCCCACTCCTGTGCCCCTCCACCATCCTTCAAATCCTCCTCCCACCCCCACTCACCCACCCACCCATTCCTCTTTCTGAAGATAGCAAAGGTGGCGGGGATCTCGGTGAGCAGATGAAGGACCCCTTCATCCCATCTTCAATGCCTCTACCGAAGATCCCAAAGGTCTGGAGCAAAACGGGCTGTTACCGGGCGTCCTCTTGGAAAAGCTGCTGTCTGCTTTTGGTTTTATATGAAACTGGGGACTGAAGGAGTTACCACCGCCGTGGGTGAGAGCAACAAAGCGTCCGCTCCGTCGCTGCCCGTCTGTCCTGACTAGCTCCCCCACCCCTCACTCCCTTCCCGTTCTCCTTCGCGCTTCTTTGCTTCCCCCCCACCCCTTTCCTTCAGTCCGCCAGTCGAGCTCTGATCTTAAGCCGGCAGCAAACCCTCTAGAAAGCCCCCCGGTGTCATCCTGAGAACTGCAGCCACTATGATGCAAAAGAAGACTGTGATGATGGTGGTGATGATGGTGGTGATCATTGCCCGGGTGTGATGTGATTGTCATGGTGGGGACGGTGATTTCGAGGCGGTGAGAGCTAGAGTGAGCGAGCGAGCGGGAGCAGAAGGAACGGTTGATTCGCTTGTAGCTGCTGTGTGGGTTCGGATTCTCCCCCAACCCCCACCCCGCCCCCCTCCTGACTCCATCCTCTCCCCCACCACTGGAAGTCCTTCCGAATCTAAATGGAATTAGTGGAGATCGGAGTCCCTGGCGTAAGGAACAGACATGATCTATGGACGCAGTTTGTTTCACAGTAAGTAACCTTTCTACTGCCGCCTAGTTAGCCCCCTTCAGTTTTCCTTCCGTCCCTTTTCTCCTCCCTCCTTTTGGAAAGCGCAGGTGGATGCAGCGCAACCTCTCTCCAACCGGACCCCGCAGTACCGCTGGAGTCTCTGGGGCAGATGTAAACTTTCTGTATTGCAGTAAAACTGAAGAGGGGCTACCGGGGGAGGTGGGGGCGAACAATGATTAGTTAGTATTTTCGCCGGGTACTGAAATAAAAAAGCTCTTTTTTTTTGATGGAGGGTTTAACGTTAGGTAAGGAAAAGGGGTTGCAGAAACCTTTGAGTTCATGAATAGTCCGTAGCTTAATGATTGTGTGTGGGTTAGTAAAAGCTTTTGGGGAAGTGGGGGTGATGGGAAGTGGGATCATGTTGTGAGAGGTCAAGTAGAGAAGAAATCCCCCCTTTTCCATTATATCAGAGTATATTCCTCCACCACTGATATTCTTTCATGATAAATACTTTAATGTACACCAAAAACACTGTGTTGGGTTGAGAATATAGCGCCAAACTCAACTACTCTGAATTAACTTGCCTTTTGGTCAGAAAACATCTAATGCTGTTTTTTTAAAAATGTAATTGTATGAACTGTGCTTGGGGTGGGGGGGAGATCTCTCTAAGAGAAAACAACATTCTAAGGCAAGATGAAGAACGTAGTGTCAGTGTCATATCCTCAGTTCTCTGTCAACCTCTATATACAGAGGATAACTGTCAAAATAAAGGAAGGTTTCTTGTACTCTTCTTGAGTAGTGCAGTTGAAGGTCTGCTAGCACATTAAGGATAGCACATTCCATAATGTACAAATGGGAAGCATAGTAAAGAATCTTTGGCAAAGGAAGCACTCAACTTGAAGAGGTGGTTGCAAGTGTGTGTGTGTGAGTGTGTTTATATATATATATATATATATATATATATATACATATATATATATATATATATATGATACATATATATGTATGTACAGACATATGCATTCAGGTTTACCTCAGGATGTGTTCAAAGTACTGATTTTTCTCATTTAGAAATACTGAAAGGGCCTAATCCATTCTAAGAACAGATGGCCTGACCACAACCTATTTTTTTTTTTGGGAAATCTCTGTTCAGATTAAAGCTATGTAAAACAACAGTTCACAACAACATAGTTTACACACCAACTGTAGTACACAAAATAAAACCCACATCTCTTGACCTTTTCTTTAAGAAGCTGTTTCCAGATAAAAGCTATTGTGGCAAGCTTTAGAGAAAGGTTTTCCTGGTAGCCTATGCCCTCTTTTCCAAAATTGCTTTTACATACTTACATACATGTATGTAAAAATTAATGCTTAGAATAATTAATTTATAATAAAAATTTTCTTAAAAACTATATATTCATAATTTGGTTGCAATACAGAACAGAATCTGAATGCTTACCCTTAAAGTCCTAAGGGATTAATTTTTATAGCTTCTTAAATTGTGGGGATCTCAGTGGTTTTTGCATGTCAATATATTTTTATAATGCTGGCTTAAATGCCTCACAACCAAATTAATCTCCTTCCTGTCCCTTGTCTCTCTCCTCTCTCTCTACAACTCCTTTTCCCCTAAGGATTTGACCCTAGGGATTTCTCTTCTGAATTATGAGGTTTTGTTCTTTTTGTTTGTTTGTTTGTGTTTTGCCATTGCATATTAGGACCAAGAATATATACATCTTTTTTTCTCCCTTTTCTCATTTTTAGGTGCTATTATATTCATGGCAGTTTAGAAATTCAGAATGTCCTATTGTAATGCTTAAATTGAAATAGGTTAACGTGTTTCCTGCTAGTATACAATTTCTTTAGAATGTTGGATGCTACTCACAGTCAACCTTTATTAACTTCAAAACAGGGAGTCCAAGCTTTTCTTAGTTTTCTAAGTCAGTTTTTCTAAGTCTTACGTAGATATTTTTTGAAGTAGCAACAAAACTGATTGGTTTTGATATTTTCTTATCTTTTCATTTTATTATATTGAGATAGGTCATAATACATCAGTCACTATAAACACTAATTTTGTATGTCCCTGATTATTTCTGTTCATTTGTTTCAGTTGCAGCAAGTCTGATCATCCTACATTCATCTGGGGCTACCAAAAAGGGAGTAGGTAAGTTTGTCAAAAGGATAAAAAGTACTGCAAATTCCTGACAATTTTCCCAATTCTATCCCTATCCTAAATGCTCTATTATGATAAGAATCTGATATTGTGTACAATTGCTTGCCTTTCCTTAAGGAAAGCTTACAGCTTAATTATGAATTAAGACCTGAAACAAAGGTGGTTATATCTATTTTTAGTTCCCCAAACATTGAATAATGGCTCTATTTTGCAGAAAAGCAAACCACTTCAGAAGCACAGAAATCAGTGCAGTGTGGAAATTGGACAAAGCATGCCAATGGAGGTATCTTCACTTCTCCCAATTACCCCAGCAAGTATCCTCCAGACAGAGAGTGCATCTACATAATAGAAGGTAAAAAAGGAGAAAAATATGACAAAATACTTTAAGCCTGAATTTTGTGTTTAATAACACTTTACGGACAATTTCTTTTACAGCTCTTAAAAAGCATCGGATTGAGTTGACACTTACTTGAGTGTAATTAGATTGAGTGCATCAGATTGAGTTTACACTAGGTGTCTTAAGAAACTAGGAAAATGTGCCTAAAAGTTGATAATCATAGATTTAGAGCTGGAAGGGACTCTAATGGTAAGTCAAATCCTTCATTAGCCTGGCACATAGTAGGTGTTTAATAAAGACTGATTGATTTAAATCTTGAGAGGTTAAGTGATTTGCTCAGTGTAACCCATCTAGCAAGAGCTTGTAGCATGATTTGAATCCAGGTCTTCCTGATTACAAGTTCAGCCATCTATTCCCTACATGTCTCTAAGTAAATTAGAATGACTAATGAATGTCAAATGAAAATAGGCAACTCTGATTTTTTAAATTTGATTTAACTGATGGAGTTAGTCATAGGCGATATATACCTGAGAGATATTGTCATGCCATTTGACTTAATCCATCTTATGCATTTTTATAAACTGATAGATGATATTTAATTCATTTTATAAATAATGGAAAATAGAATGGGGTAAAAATCAAAGAAAATTATGTATATTGTGAAAGAACACATTGTAACAACATGGTATAGCAGAGAGGACACCAGACTAAAAATCAGAAATCCAAACATGCTAGTCCTGAATGTCATTAATTAGTCACATGACCTTTTTGAATCAGGCTTAGTTTCCTCCTGCACAAAAGAAAGAATTGTACTGGAGGATCTAAAGGATTATTTCCTAAATTTCTATGATATCATTCCAAACATTGGCCTGAAGCCTTATTTTTCCTGGTTTTTACCAGTACCCCTGGTACTATGCTTCAATTTCCAGCTAAGATTTCCAGGATTTGGCTGGCAGCTAAATTTGTCCAACCCAAGTCTCATAAATGTTTCTGAGGATTTTCAAAGAGAGGTCAAAGACCTTCTACTTTCCTTGAATTTTCCCTATTCCCTGTCTGAAGGTAGTGCTTAGATGTCTCCAGAATGCAAAATCCTTACTGAGAGTCAATTTCTGAGATTTAACATTTCTCATCTTACCTTATAAAGACATTATACAGTCCATATATACGCAATACTGAAACATCACAAAAATTATTTTGAGTACACTGAAGAATATTTTCTGTGAAAAGTTGTATGATTAATTGCATTGACCTATAAGCCTTAGATATATGCATTTTGAAGATCTTTGGGAAAAAAATAAAATTTCTATAATCCAATGAACCTTCTGAAAGAAAGGGACTCCATCATAAATGGGAAGTGCTTTGAAAATGTTAATGTGCTATTATTTTGCCATACTTCATCCAGATATTTTTCTTTCCTATTTCCAAACATGGGTTTAATCAAAGATCTACAGGGTATGATCATCATCAAATCATGGGGGAAACTATTCTGAGCCTGATCATTCAATTCAATTAAACATTCAGTAAGTGCTTCATTATGTAGCAAACAACAAAAACAAATCAATCCCTTCTCTGGTGCTTATATTCTACAACAGGATAGTCAAAAGTACAAAGGCAAATAAACTTAAGGCCACTTCGGAGGAAAAGAGTGCTGCCAGTTCAGGACAGCATCAGTGAAGGCTTCACAGAGGAAAAGTCATGCTTGATTTGAGCCTTGAAGAAAGATAAGGGATTCTTAGGGCGAGATGAAGAGGAAGTTCATTCTAGCTATGGGAACAAATTCATAGATGTGGGAGATCAGATGTCTAGTTCAGGGAATAGTCCAATTTGTGTTGAATCTAGCATGTATGAAAGGAAGTGAGCAAGCTTTTATTAAGTGCCTACTATGTGCCAGATACTATGCTAAGCACTTTACAAATATTATCACATTTGAGCCTCACAAACCCTGGGAGGTATGTGTTATTGTCCCCATTTTACAGTTGAGGAAACTAAGGCTGATGGAGATTAAGTGACTTGTCCAAGGTCACCTAGCTAATAAGTGTCTATGGCTAGATTTGAACTCAGCCACAGAGTTCAAAGTTCTTCCTGACTACAAGTCCAGACCTTGATTCATTGTACTGCCTAGATGCCTTCTGAACACAAGTACTATGAAATAAGGGTAAGTTCAAGGGACTCAAATGCTCAGCTGACTTATCAAAACTTATCAAAAAGACAATAGGAAACCACTGAGGATTTGGTAGGAAGTAATTGACAATACTCAGAATTGTGCCATGACAAGTGTCTTTTTGCCAGCTATGTAGAGGATAGAGGAAAGGGATTAGACACTCAGTGAAGAGTAAATGGTGATGAGGGCTCGAATTAGGAGGGTAGTTGAGTAGGTGAAGAGGAAAAGAAGAACATATGGAAAACATGTTATTGGGGGATAGAAATGACAATACTTTATAAGTAATTGAATATTTGATAAATGAAGGAGAGTGAAGAATGAAGGATGACTCTTGAGATTATGAAACTGTGTGAGTAGGAGGATGGTAGTTCCCTTTATAGAAGTAAGAAAGTTTGGAGAAACAGTTCATTAATGGGAAAAAGAAAATGATGTTCTTTTTTGGACATGTTAAGTTTGATATTTCGATGAGGAGACAGCTAGAAATGTGAGACTGGATTTCAGAAGAGACACTAGGGAAATAGATCGAAAGACAGATGGATTGTTTTGGAAGTCATCTGCTTAAGAGATGATCATTGAACTTTTGGAAGTTTTTATATAAATAAGGGAGAGAGCACAGAGTAAATAGAAGAGGGTCCATGAAAGAACCTTACAAAACCACAAATGTTTTGGTGGCTATAGATGAATGAGGTACCATGAGGGATAGGCAAAATTACTAAATAGTAATAGTCAGATAATGCTAGATACATCTAGTGGGAAAATCAGAATAAAGTCTTCATGGAAACCCAAGCATGAAACAATATCCAGGAAGAAAGGGGTAGTCAACAGCATCAAAAGCTTTAGAGAAGTAAAGAAGCATCTATACTAAGAAAAAGCCTGTTGGACTTAGTTGAGATTATGGGTGAACCTGGAGAGAGAACAATTCAGATTTTATCTAATATTGAGAGAATGGTCCATTTTACCACTGTCTTTACCAAATTTTGTATTTATGGATTGCTTACTCTAACTTAAAGCCTGCTATTTGATCAGTCAAAAAACATTTGTTAAGTGCTTACTAGGTCAAAAGTAATACAACCTTCTTTTCCAATAATTAGATATTGACATTAATAACAGATTAAGAAAGAACACACAAAATTTTGTACTGAAAATTAAAAATTCAAAGAAAGCAGGGCATAATGTCTTCTACAATGTAAGAGCTCCTCTAATTCTTTAAGCATTTCCATATAGTAAACTGGAACTTAGTAAATGTTGGAAAGCATAATGATAAAATTTTTTTTCCAGTTAAACTATCAAGTCCAACTATTCATTTCAAGTCAACAAATATTAAGTGTCTACAGAATTCCAAGTTATGTGCTAGATACTCTGTGTATAAAGTTTAAAAATATTAAAACCCCATGTTCAAGGAGTTTCACTTACTGGGAGTAATTGGTTATATATGTACACACAACTAAATGTAGTGTAAGATAGGGAACGTTGGGAATGAAGAGGAATAATTGAGACAAAGTGATCTAAGAAAATTTGAAGAAGGAGGGGAAATTTTTCATTTGAGAAGAATCAAGAAATTTTTTATGGAGTAGGTGGAAGCAAAGATGAACCTTGACCTCAGCTCAAATCCAGCTTCAGACACATAACACTCACTAGCTGTGTGACCCTGGGCAAGTCACTTAACCCCAATTGTGTCACATTAAAAAAAAAAAAAGATGAACCTTGAAGTAAGATCAGGATTCTGAAAGACAGAAATAAAGAGGAAATGGATTCTGGACATATGGAATTCAAGTAATTAAATTCACATAACTTCAAGTAATGGAGTAGGAATGTACTATTAGTTTTATATCATAATGATACATCATGTATACATTGCAAGATATTTTCTGTCAATTTTGCACTCTATCTCTACCCCAGCTCAGTCATGACAAATCACTGGGGCATCTGATTGGATTTGTGTTTGTTGGTTATTGGTGGTGTTCTTGTTTTTTCCTTGTGTGTGTTGGGGGGGCGGAGTACTCAAGTGCACTTTTTGAAAGTGTACACTTTTCACTATTTGAAATCCTTATAATTATTACCCTTCTGTCACCTTCTCTCTTTGCCTTAAATATGGGGTTTCAATACAAAGCAGAAGCACATTTCACATAGAATTTACTTGTGACATCATATCTAGTAAGTAATGGGAGTGACAAGATGCAGAGGATTGTCTACAGAATAAAAATACATAATTTTTGCATTTTCCCCATGAATTTGTTTCACAAGACACATGATGTCATGAATTCCATATAAACAAATAGAATTTCATGCCACTGATAATGCATTTTTTAAAATAATAAGCATGGCATTGCGTGCAAGAAAATACCTTTAAAATATTTTCTCAGAGGTCAGTGTGTTATTTTTTTAAAGATACTATATTTTGTTGAAACAAAATTCTTTTAGCATATACCAGTTTTGAGAGTCAAACCTAAAAACTTATGATTTCAGGCCGATATATCCATTAGTAATTTTTGGATTATCTATTGTACTTCATTTAGCTGACAGCCATAAATTTAAGATGTCGTTTTACTAGGATCTGTTTGAAAGCACTTTCAACTTTTTGAAATAACAATATTTAACTTTTTTCTTTAAGATTTAAAGTTTGTTATCATCATTACATAAAGTTCCAGGAGCAGAAAGAATTATTAATCTAACATTACAAGAGAAAACTACATTTTAGAAAGCAGTTTAGCCAATAAATGATAAAGTCTTTGGCCTAGGTGGCACATTGGATAGAGCCTTGGGCCTGAAATCATGAAAGCCTGAGTTCAAATTCAGCCTCAGACACTTAAACTAGCTATGTAACCCAGGGAATGTTACTCACCTCTGTCTCAGT